TTGTTAAAAGCGCTATATAAATAAAGGTGACTTGACTTGACTGAACACAGCTCAACAGCCCCTTTCTGTATGGAAAAGAGCAGCCAGGACATGCAACAAAATCAATCAAAAACATGGATTCATGCAAATTAGACATTTGAACACATTCAACACAAGATTCTCAAGCAGGAAAACACATCACATATTTAAAGTCAAGATCATCGTTTTTTAGAGGTTATGAGTTCTTGAGGTCAATGCTGAGCACCAGAAATCAGAAATGTCCATTTGAGAGAGAAAAGACTGCATAGAATCAGTATGATCCCACTGTCCCGATGCTAAAAGTTAGGTCCTTTCCTGAAAGGATTGTTCCGAAAGCCATAGGTTTGATAACAAGAGGACAGGTCACAAACCCCCATGGGCCCCGGTGGCCCACGTTTGCCTGGGGTGCCCGGAGTGCCAGGTTTCCCTGGTGGACCAGAAGGCCCAGGATATCCCTCACCGTCATCCCCACGTGGGCCCTGCAAACCTGTGGAAGAGAAAATTACCCCTGGACATGCTTGAAAAAGACAACAAAATACAAAGAAGGGGATTATTATCATGCATGAAAATGATATTTGTTTTTATACCTGCTGGGCCAGGTGGACCTGGCAACCCCATTTCACCCTGTCCTTTAGCACCTTTCATACCCATTGGGCCAATATCACCTGTAAGAAAAACATTCAAGCACCATTTTCCCTTCAGTGACTTTATAATCAAAAGATGAAATGAACTTCAAAACACTTTCACACAATCCTCACCTTTTACCCCTTCAGGTCCCCTCCTCCCAGGAGGTCCCGGGTATCCTGGAGACCCCGCCCTGCCAGGATACCCTGGGATATTGTTTTTATTACTTTTTATTTCAGTTTTAGTTTTAGTTATTTCAGTACATCAAGATAAACTAAATAAAAATGAGAAATGTTGTTTTTGGCAACTAGCTAAAAAAAAAAAAAGTTTTAGTTTTATTTTAGTTTTAGTTAACTGTAATAACCCTGATGACTACAACCATTTTTAAAATTAATTTAGCCTCAGATAGTAATTTCCACACTATAAAATATTTTAGCACTTGATATCACTAGAAAGATTTATATTCATTATAAACATTTCCCTGCCTTCTCCATGTCTAGAAACCACACTTTTAAAATGTCCTCATTTATAACAAGTTGTAAATAAAATGACAGATGTTGAGGGCACAAATTATAATAAGAAACATGATGTCAGCTTACTTCTTGATTTTTTTTACCTTATTTTAAAGCTTATTTTTAGGCCCCCTAGTGGTTGAGAACCACTGATTTAGAGAGATAAAATATTCTGATAATATATTAAAGTCCTCAGGGCTTAGTTTGGGTTTTCTAATATAACTGACTACACTACATCAAATACACTTGTACATGCATTTGTTAGATATAATGCTATTAGATGTTTTTCATGGCTCTCTGGAATACTTGATTCTGATTGGTCATTTGCTACGTTCTACAGACTCACATTTTTGTATAACAATAAACTAAACATCTGACCATAGTCCCTGGCAACCAATATCGGTGCTAGTTTCACATCTCATATCATTCTCACATAATAAATTATTCATATATTTATGTATTTATTTATTTAAATAGCAAGAGTGTTCAAATGCTTCACAATGGCGTTGCAATGATCCTGACGAGATTTATTTTGCGATAATGACCATCTGAATAACCATTATCTCTTACTACTGTATGTGCAAGCAACAAGTGTAATTCGTGTGGATTTCATAAACTTTTAAGGAGTGTAGAAAAGATGGTGTAACATCTGCGACAGTAACGGCAATATAAAAAATAGCCATATGCCGGCTCAACAAATGGATTTCACAACCATATTTACATCTTTCCTCTTTTTTACAGAGAACTGAAAGTAGCTCTGAAAGCTCCTACCACTCCAGATGTTTCCAGCTATCTGACAGTGAGGCACATATACACACATCATAGAGTTAAATGCTATTCCTCTTGAGTATCTTTGCCTTTTCTACCAAAATAAAAGAATGTAAAATGCATATTAAGACATAGGAACATATATCAAGTACTAGAGTTTTACATTTTCTGAAGAACCAGCGAGTGATGCTACATTTAATTAAATTAAAGGTCACAGACATGATTATGGGGTGTTGTGGGTGTGTTGCTAAGGAGGTCTGAGTGTTTGTTTTTTTTCAGTATTTTTTTCAGAGTGTTTTTTTTTTTGGTTGCTAGAATAATAGTTTCTTGGTAAATATAAGAAGGATGAGTTCTATGACTAAATGTAATTCTGGTTAGGGGTTTGATCAAATTCTAAACAAAAATATGGGCAAATATCAAAAGTGATGCTTGCATAAGCATATTTTATTTTCGTTTTCTCATTCGTCTCAACCTCACTCAATGTATGTGCCACTGAAACAAGACATAAGACTCTTACCAGTACAATACATGAGAACTTACTCTGTAGCACAGAAGCACAGATCTTCATCAACTGCTCTTCAGAAGGTGCTTTGCCCTGTAACACAGTGTGTCATATTTGGACAAGACCATCATCACTATCATGCATGCCTTATAAATGCTCATAAGCATCACACTCACTGGTTTCCCTGGGTAACCTGGAAGTCCTGGTTGCCCTGGTAACCCATCTAGTCCTGGAAAGCCTTGAGATCCAGGTGGCCCTGATGGACTCATATCTCCCTTTTTCCCATCAGCCCCTCTGCTCCCAGGCTCCCCTGCTACACCTGGCTGAAAAGGAGTGGGGAGAACAGTTCACTTCAGTGTCATCACTGTTACATAATGAGGTCAAGAAATCAAGAAATCAAGAAATTTCAGTTTTTGTGCATATTTGATTATTTGAGTAATGTAAGAAAAGGTGATTTTATTTGTGATGGAGTTGCAAACAAGATCCCAAAATGCTGAGAGACACTGCATATGTTTGGTTCAAAACATCGTAGCTTTAGTCCCTTGCTAAGGAACCAACAGACCTCTTGATTCTGACTCATCAGGAAATGGTTGTGAGACACTGAACAGTAGACAGTCATTTCAAGAGTTGTTATGTACCTCTCCTTTGTTCCCTTTCAGGCCCGGTTCACCCTGTTGAGAAGGACAGAAGTACATCAGGTCCTGTGCAATTGATTCGCATTTGAATAACCTGACATTTTATGAGAAATTTAGCATTTAGACATTTAAATGCATATTTTTTAATGTTTTTGAAAATTGATTTGCTGCTCAAGAAACATTTCTTATTATTATCATCAATGTAGAAAACAGTTTTTGTGAAAACAGTGATACATTTTATTCAGGATTCTTTGATGATCAGAAGGTTTAAAAGAACAGCATTTATCTGAAATAGAAATATTTTGTAACAAATGTCTTTTCTGTCACTTTTGATCGATTTAATGCATGCTTGCTGAAAAGAAGTATTCATTTCTTTCAAAAAGGTTATTCTGTATGATATTCAGGTTTCTAGATATGACTTGGGTTCACTCTTCAGTGTAAGTCTGTGGGATGTTTTCCTTTCCATTGCACAAGCATTGTGGGCTAAGTTGGGTTTCAAAGTTTAATGCGTAGGTTTTACGGGTTTTTAAAATTCATAACCAGAAGTACACTTGCATTGGCAACACCACTAATGAAGCATAAAGACTCTTACATACATGTTTTCCAGCAACTCCAGGTTCTCCCTGGTTTCCTTTCTTGCCCTGGCAAGAGAGATGCAATGAAAACGTCAACCAGTTTCTTTTGTTTTGCATGATTGTGCTTATCAAGACCAGCATTAACTAGTAAAAACCAGTCTGGACCAACTGGTATGTGTGGTAGTTTGTTTACAACTTTTTGACACTGACTGCTGAATAAAAACATTTGTGTGTAAGTCTTTTGTAGGTCAGAATTCCTGTTAGAAAAAAATTGTTTTTGCATAGGTGATTAACACCTTTTTTTTTTTACTTCCTCTTGTCTCTTTCTCTCTCATAGTATGTTCCTTTTGAACAGACGTGAGAAATCAAATGTCAAAGTTGTCTGAGCAGTAACAGTACCTGACTTCCCTTTGGTCCAGATGATCCTGAGTCACCCTGCAAATACAAGCGTAGGAGCACTGGCATTTAACAGTACTGAAACAAGGAATATTTGTAATAATACACTGAAGTGCAAAAGTGTACAGTACATAAAGTTCCACATTAACCAAAAATAGTTCCACACTTTTCATCATTTTTTGTTTGAAAAATGAAGTATACAGCCTATTGTGTTTCCCTACTTAAGAAACAGGATTCAAAGTGGAGGAGAAGAGAAGAAAACTAAAGTTTTAAAGCACCACTGAGAAAATAGGCCTTGAAAAAAAATGGGAGTGAGAATATGGAAGGACAATTTTAAAATTCTGGAATGGTTAATGTGATCTTGCTCATTAAATCGAGTGTATTATTCACATTATAGGGGTAGAAAGAGGGGGAAAAAAGACAAGAACCTTCAACATTTAGTAAGACAGAATTTTGTGAATTTTGAATTTTGTGATGTCAATGTCACATTAAAGTCAGCATGAAATGAAAATTTCACCTTGTCTATTTTGTAAATGAATGTTATAGATCTTATTGTGAATTCATCGATGTACGTGTTCATCATAACTGAATCTTCCGGTGAAAACCACAGACTTCTGGTGACATAAAGTATTTAGACCTTTTCCAATGATTTACTGCAAATGCAACATCCACATCTCAAATGCAAAGTCCCCGCCCAACATTTTTTCTCGGATGTACCTCATAATACGGAAGAAATGATTTGTCGCTACTTCCGTTTCATCACAATTTTAAAAATATGGTATTGATGAAAAAATAGAGCATTACTTTCAGTCAAAATGACAGATAATGTCTATTTGTAATGCAACCTTTTATTAAAGCAAGGCAGAATGTTAAAGCAAGGCAGATATTAATTCAGGTTAGGTTTGTCAGTGTTGAAGACGGACGTACCTTATAACCTTTAAACCCTGGTAGACCTCTAATGCCAGGGGGACCTTGAATGCCGTGCTCTCCATCTGAACCCTGTGGATGCATGCATGCACACACACCCTTATAAGACTCAGTATTTAGATTGTTCACTTGTGCAACATCACTATACTTAATCCTGGAGACCCCGCCCTGCCAGGATACCCTGGGGGTCCAGATGGGCCCATTGGGCCCGGGGAACCTGGATTGCCTGATGGTCCTTGTTTGGTTTCACAATGTTGGCAGCTGCTTTGTCCCATCACCTGCAGGAGCTGTGGCAGCTGGCCTGTTGAAGGAACATTTAGTGCAGTGATTCTCAACCTGTTTGACTGGTTTCTGGTACTAAACTAGGAGTGGTACTATATTAAAATAAAAATAAAATAGAAATATTAAATAAAAAATAAAATGTAAAGGTGAAATGTATAGCGTAATATAAAAATGTACAGTAAATAATCAATTCTGATTGGTTAATTGGAATGTTGTTCCAGGATCAACAAGGATATCATGGTCACCATACTTACTGACATGTATCATTTAATGAGTTTATCTTGTTGAATAAAGACACAGCACACTCAACACCACTGATAGACACTTCTCATTGAATAAAGACAAATTTCAGTCTGTTTTTGTCATATACCTATTGTATGGCATCAGAAGGCATGGACTAGTGCGCAATATGGACCATCACTTTAAAACTTTTCTGCTTAATGTGGGAGGTGATGAAATGAATGCAATGAAATAAAAATTGCAACCATTTCACACTCTCTAAAAGATAGTCTCTCAGCTTTGGCTTTTGCAGGCCTACGTTAAAAACCTTCCTCTCATACCTATTTTGTCTTAAGCATTTGACTTGATAACTGTTGGCTCCCAACCAGTGGAATTATGTAAAGTGAATTAAAGGTTTCTGAACATTATGACTTGATGAAGGCTCAATATAGCATCTGCTACTCAAAGTTATTTCCTGAAGCCGGCTGAGGAAACGGCAGGTATGTCACTTAAAGAGATTATATTGTATTTTCAGACCTTTATGTGTGGAATTCCCCCTCCCTTGGCTCACTCACTTTAGCACCAGGTGGTCCAGGGAGCCCATCCTGTCCGCTAGAGCCAGAATTCCCCTGTCAACAAACAAGGGTTTCACTCCATGTCAGTAAAATACTATATAGCAAGTACACTTATAATCATGATACAGGTAAAGTGATTTTGAGAAGTGATATAAAAAAATAAAATAAAATAAATTATTGTCACTTTTTATTAATTTAATGCGTTCTTGCTGAATAAATAATTTATTTGAAAAAAAAGAAGAAAATAATAATAATAATAATATTTCCCCTTATATTTCAAGTTTTTTTAATCACTTAAAAGTTATACAAAAATACAAATTATATATACATATAATTGCCCAGGAAGGCTATAAGAGACCTTGCCTAAGAGGCAGAGAAAGGAAGCTTTTGGCTTTGGCTGAGAAGGAATGATAAGAGCTGGGGTGCTGAGAAGCCTCAAGGCATAAGGACCTGAGATCCAAGTCCAGCCGCAGGGAGACGTCCCTGTCTGCTGCCTCACCACCCTGAGATGTTCTGGGACTAAAGGGGCGAAACATCGGTGAAGGGTGGCTATTAGCTGATAACCCTACGGCTGGTAATTTGACACAGGCGGAGGTATGTCAGGCAGTAATGCCCAGCAGTTCTTACCATCAACCTGTTTCTAACCCACCAACCCCCACCCACCCCCCGCCGCCTAAGCCACCGCCGCCGCTGCTACCGCCTTACAGTTCAGGTTTTTTATCACTTAAGAAGTCATACAAAAAATACAAACTACACATATTTAGCTGGGATGACTTACTTTTGGACCTGGAGGGCCTTCTATGCCAGGTGGGCCAACTGGGCCTGGGGGTCCCTAGATTTAAAGACAACTCTGTAGTAAGACAACATCAATAATTCAAGCCCAATATGTTTTATTTGCCATATCTTTTCCAATAATAACCATCAACATTTTGTGTATTTTATTTCTTAGCCTATGACAGTTTAATGTGGAAAGACAACAATATGAAAGTCATTCGTAGGTAAATTTATCAGAAAGTTTAAACACTGTGGTACAAATCAAACCATTCTGGTCTCACATGGGCCTGGTAACATTAACCAATGACGTGGGTTTGGGCCGCACTTCACCTTTAAAAAATAAATAATTTACAACTGCTGTTGGAAACTAGATTTTCACATTTTCTGAAGAAAACATGAGTGGTTCCAACCCATGCCAAACTCACCACCACAGAGCTAGGGTGTTCTGGGTGGCTGGCACGGTTTTGCAATGCAGTTTGGCACGATTTTGCAAAGTTTTATGAGTGGGTTGCTATATGGTTACTAGGATGTTCAAGGTGGTTGCTAGGTGGTTACAAAAGAGCGCCACCCCAAAAAAATCTCTATTATTGATTTTCTGGTTCCCAGATATGGTTTGAGTCTCTCTTTTAAAGTAAATTGGGATTTTTTTACAAATTATTTTAAATGCACTTTAGCATTTTTAGTATCATCTTAAGTCTGATACAAATCATGCTGGACATCTTGCCCTAATTTAGAGGCCTTGATAAAGAACTTAAACAGCTACTGCTTGTAAAATTGCAATTTAGCATTGAGCCAACAAACTAAATTAAAACATAATTCTGTTGAAATTATGAGATACCTGCTGCCCTGTTGGTCCAGTAAAACCTGCTGGTCCTGGCATGCCTCGCTCACCCTGTCAAAATGATTTTGTTATACAGCAGCACAAAAGTTGTGACAAAATCAATCCCCTCCAAATGACTACTGTCCAAAGTTTGGGGTGGGTAAGATTTTAAAAAAATGTTTTTGAAAGAAGTCTCTTTTGCTTCCCAAGGCTGCATTTATTTGATCAAAAATACAGTAAAAACGACAAATTAATATAAATGTTTTCTATTTTAATACATTTTCAAATGTAATTTATTTCTGTGATGCAAAGCCCAATTTTCAGCATCATTACTCTTCAGTGTCACATGATCCTTCAGATATCATTCTAATATGCTGATTTGCTGCTTAAGAAACATATTATATTTGATTATATTTAATAATTTGTTACATTTTATGATTAATCTGGGTTCTTACTTGAGGTCCAGCCGGGCCTATCTCTCCAGGAAGCCCCCGTATACCCTAAAAAAAAAAAAAAGTAAAAAAACACAAAAAAACATTCATGTGCCATAAGTTGTTTATGGTTTAGGGAGTACAGTTTTACATCCCATGAGCCTTTTTCTGTCTGTACAAATTTGATACAGTGACTGAAATACACAATTACAAAGGATCCCTTCTAAAACACAGGCTTAACATGCTGGCAGCACCTTTTACTGCCACTATTGCCTGTTTACTTACCGAGTGCTGTCTTTCTGTATCAATGCCAAGCCACACTGTAACCCATTCAATGTACTGGCAAGCACGTATTCTTTCATTAGAGTGGTTTACATGAGAGTTTATGATGAAAGATAAAAGAGAGGCATAAATCACCACACCAAGACCGATCCACAGTTGACACATCCCGTTTCCTGCACCAGATTTCAGGAATCTCATAATCTTGTCAATTTTTCTTTCAAATGAGCCGGTTTGATTGTCCATAAACAGGAAGCACAGCCCAAACAACTTGTGAAATGAATGAGTGTAAGAGTGTTCAATCAAACAGCAAATGTTCCTCTGCAAAGTTTCCACACAGTGCATGTGGCAACACACATAAAAGAGATTGCAGAGATAAACAGACAGACATGCAGAAAACCTGCTGACCTCTAGAGAGTGCACTAGAGCATTTATTGACTTTAAAGGGGTCATATGATGCGATTTCAATTTTTCCTTTCT